CTCATATATGCAGGAAATGTACCTGTCATCTTTTTTCTTACTGAACTCACCCTGAAGCCCCCTCTCTGCTGAGTGGTAGGGTCCAGGACATGAGGGTGGACCCCTGTCAGTTGAAGGTGTGATGGCCAGATAATATCATGGCTCAAAACACCCATGGGACAATGTCCTCTGAGGGACCCAAGTCTCTAAACTTCCTCAGCTTTGTGGAAATTAATTAAAAACCTTAATTAAATTGGAGCTGGGAAGGCCTCCAGGGGGAGCTCTCACGCCATATCACACATCGTCAGTTACATCAAACAGGAAGAGATAGAGGCCAGCATCTTACAGGAAGTAAAACTACGTTAGTCCCGAAGGAAGATTTCTCTCCCCACCCAGCAACAGCCCAGCCAATGAGAAGTTATTGCCACCTTGAAGTGTTACTTTCCTCCAGTGGACTTTCATTTAGAACAATCCTCCCCACTCCTCCTTTTTCCCTATAAACGCAGCTCCCCTCCATTGTTTTCCAGATTTGCATATGGTTCACCATATAACGCACACCCCAAATTGTGATTCTTTTGGCTATTCCTGAATAAACTCATTTTGAGGCTAAAATAACAGGTGAATTTGCTTTTTAAGTTAATAGCTTTAACAAAAAGACATTAACTCGCACCCACCTCTGCTCAGGCACATGGGGCTGTGTAGTCAATGAGCCACAGACACTGCACTCCTGACACTCCAAACAAACTTCAGCTCCCTGCCACCTAATGCTTATCAAAAGTAGAAAGGTTCTAACAAAAAACAAACAACCCGATCAAAAAATGGGCAGAGGAAATGAACAGACACTTCTCCAAAGAAGATATACAGATGGCCAATAGGCACATGAAAAGATGTTCATCACCACTAATCATCAGGGAAATGCAAATCAAAACAACACTAAGATATCACCTCACGCCCGTTAGAATGGCTATAATCACCAAGACAAAAAACAACAAATGTTGGAGAGGATGTGGAGAAACAGGAACCCTCATACACAGCTGGTGGGAGTGCAAACTGGTGCAGCCTCTATGGAAAACCGTATGGAGATTCCTCAAAGAATTTAAAATAGAAATACCCTATGATCCTGCTATCCCACTACTGGGAATCTATCCAACGAACCTGAAATCAACAATCCAAAGAGGCTTATGCACCCCTATGTTCATTGCAGCATTATTCACTATAGCCAAGAAGTGGAAGCAATTCAAGTGCCCCTCGCTTGATGATTGGATCAAGAAGATGTGGTATATATACAACGTAATACTACTCAGCCATAGAAAAAGACAAAATAGTCCCATTTGCAACAACATGGATGGGGCTGGAGGGTATTATGTTAAATGAAATAAGCCAGAAAGAGAAAGACAAACACTGTATGATCTCACTCATATGTGGAATATAAACCAACACACGGACGGAGAAAACTGTATTGTGGTTACCAGGGGCAATGGGGGTAGGGGGTGGGCACAAGGGGTGAAGGGAGTCATATATATGGTGATGGACAAACAAAAATGTACAACCCAAAATTTCACAACGTTATAAACTATTAAAACATCAATAAAAAAAAAGTAGAAAGGTTCTGTGATTTCTACTCAGTCAATTTGGGTAGGGGGAGAACTAAAGCTCAGGACCCCAAATGTTCGGGCCTGCACCGTTCTTCGTACCACTATACGTCCAGAAGCATCTTTTTAAAAGCAACTACTTTCTATCCTCAACTAGGGGAGTATTTGTGTCTGGAATAATTCAGTTGTGAAATGCTCCAGATCTGTGCTTTTTGCCTGATCAGAGAATATATACAGCAACGGACCTCGGGCAGACCTGGGCGTACTCAGGGACGCCATGCCTGGAAGACTGACCTTATTTTACCCAGTTTTTCACAGTAAACAACTCAGGAATGTGCTGGAATTGTCACTAGTTATTTTACGCTTGGCAAGCAGGTCACATTTAGCTGTAGTCTCCAGATGGCTGGGAGAGGTGAGGAGGATGGGAGAAAGAGAGAGAAAAAGAAAGAGAGTGAGGGGAGAAAGAGAGAGGCAAGGCAAGCTCCTGGAAAGCCCTGAAAGGACCCCGCCTGCTCTGCCCACTATCAGTGACCGCTGAGAACCTATTGTGACCTAAAGGCAGGGAAATGTGTCTCCCACTGGAAGTGCTACAGTGTAACCTGTTCTGTGTGGTCAATTACATCCTCTACTCCCACTAACCAGCCAAGTGTCTGACGGTGCCCTTCCTTCCATCCTATTATGGTCACCCTTGTGACCTCCATGCAGTTCCCATCCAAAGAAAATTTTTCTTGTTAGTGCTGTCAATTTGATTCCGACTCCTAGCACCCCTGTGTACAGCAGAGCAGAACCCCGCCCATCTTTATTTTTTTTTCATTTGGAAGTGCTTTTAATTTTTTAATTTTTATTTTTTTAAATTTTTTGTTTATTGCAGTAACATTGGTTTATAACATTGTAAAAATTTCAGGTGTACATCATTATACTTCTATTTCTGCATAGATTACATCATGTTCACCACCCAAATACTAATTACAACCCATCACCACACCCATGTACCAAATTATCCCTTTCACCCTCCTCCCTCCCCCCTTCCCCTCTGGTAACCACCAATCCAATCTCTGTCCCTATGTGTTTGTTTATTGTCGTTATTATCTACTACTTAATGAAGGAAATCATACGGTATTTGACCTTCTCCCTCTAACTTATTTCACTTTGCATAATACCCTCAATGTCCATCCACGTTGTCACAAATGGCTGGATTTCATCGTTTCTTATGGCTGAGTAGTATTCCATTGTGTATGTATACCACATCTTCTTTATCTGATAAGGGCTTAATCTCCAAAATATATAAAGAACTCATGCATCTCAACAACAAAAAAACTACCAACCCAATTTAAAAATGGGCAAAAGACCGCCCATCTTTTTGCACCATTCTCTCATCTTCCTGCGCTATACCAGACAATGTTCCACTGCTATTCATAGGGTTTTCATGGCCAATTTTTTCAGAAACAGGTGGCCAGGTCCTTCTTCCTAGTCTGTCTTAGTCTAGAAGCTCCGCTCAAACCCGTTCACCATGGGTGACCCCGCTGGTATTTGAAATCCTGGTGGCACAACTTTCAGCATCACAACATGCAGCTGCCACGGTATGACAACCAACAGACAGGTGGGGTGGTTCCCCAACTGGAAATGAACCCAGGCTCAGCAGTGAGAATGTGGAATCTTAACCACTAGACCACACAGGGCTGGCTTCCAAAGAAAACAGTGAAGGTAAAACTGTGTGTGTGTGTGTGTGTGTATGTATCTGTATATGTGTTTATGTATGTATGTATGTGAATGTCTGCACACATGCACACACACACACACACACACACACACACAGAGGCCTGGTACATGGTTTTAAAGGTGAGACAGTTTCAGTCAACTGTGCACACAATCCTAGAGCTCTTACCTTACAGGGTCATCAGCCTCACCTCACCTCACCCCTCCCAGCACACTCATAGTCTGTCACCTTGATGCACTCGCCATTCTCCAAGCAAAGCGTGCACTTGCACGCCCCAAACCTTCCCTCCTTTTATCCTCCTGCTAAAATTCTGCTTAAGACTCAGCTCAAATACCACCCCCTCTTCCTTCTTCTGGGATCCCTGTGACCTGTTCCTTTAAACCTCCTCTGGTATTTTGCAGGGTTCATTTTGCATTGGCCTCCCACATGCCCCCGGCCCCTCCCTCTGGACTGCCCACTTCTTACGGGCAGGACTTCCTCTGCGTTCATCTTTGTCTCCCTGACGGGCCTGAGGAATACGGCCTGCTGCTGTCCTAACAGTCTCTCTCTCTTTTTATTCTCTCCCAAAGCAGGGCTGTGTGGAGAGCTCCTTGACACGGTGTAACCCCACTGCCTATCGTGTGAAAATGACGAGTTGGTGCATCAGGGAGTGAAATGCTATTTTTCTCCAAATTTTCACCATCTAACATACTATTTTGTTTACATATGTTGTTTGTCTGGCTCCCCTTAGAACGTAAGCTCCATGAGGTAGAGATTTTTGTCCGTTTTGTTCACCTTTGAACCCTCAGCCCCTGAGGTATGGTGGCTGGGGCAGGGTAGGCACCGAGGTAAGGGCTGGTGCACAGTAGGCACTGAGGTATAGTGACTGGTTCACAGTAGGCACTCAATCCATTGCTGTTGAATGGATTAATTAATTAGTCTCAGACAAGGGGAATGAGAGAGATTGCAAAACAAAATCATCTTAGTCTGCCTAGAGTTTGCATCAAGACATAATGGGATTCCCCAAATCCATTAACAAAAAACCCTCTAAAAATCATGGGGACTTACCTAAGGCATGTCTGCCACCACCAAGCGGGTGTCTGTCCATCTGCAGACCCACGCATCCGACCCTCTGAGAGCACACACAGCCACATCTTAGAGGCACACTCACTTCTTCAAAGTCTCCTTTCCACTTAACCACCCTGGATGTGTGTTTGGGGCTGAATTATGTCTCCCCAAAATTCATGTTCAAGTCCTAATACTCAGTACTTCAGAATGTGACTGTATTTGGACACAGGGTCTTTAAAGAAGTAATTTAAGGTAAAAGAGGTCATTAGAGTGGGCTGTAATCCCATATGACTGCTGTCCTTATAAAACGAGAAAATTAGGACACCGAAACTCACAGAGGGACTACCAGGTGAAGACAGAGAGAAGACGGCCGTCTACAAGCCAAGGAGAGAGGCCTCAGAGGAAACTAACCCTGCTGACACCTTGATCTTGGACTTCCAGCCTCTAGAACTGTGAAAAAATAAACTTCTGTTGTTTAAGGCCCCCAGTCTACTGTACTTTATTATGGCAGCCCTAGCAAACTAATCCAATGTGGAAAACCACCAAGGGAAATGTGTTTTTGTTAAGGATGCCCCAGTTGAATGCAGCCTGTAAACTGCTTGGTAGATGAAACAGTGTGGACATATAGTAAGGAGGGGAAAAAAAAGAAACAAACAAAAGCATCATGTGTTGACATTTTTTATATTTGGTATTTGTTAAGTCTTTTTAAAAAATTTTTTCAGGCCATTTTTTTCCTTAAAAAACAAACAAAAAAAAGCAACCGACAGCAATACTCTGTACAAGTATAACAAACATTAGAAATATGCATCATTCCAAAATAGTTACAAGAAAATTACAGTTTTAGAGTCCACATCAACATGTCCTATCCATATGTGCCCCCAGGGAAAAAAGCTACAGTATGTGGAACACTCGGCTGCTACACAGTCTGGAAACTCAGAACTTAGACTTTGAGGCAAATCAACATCAGTCACCAAGGCCTGTTAGCTCAATAAGCACAATCAAGCATTTGAAAAGAAAACCAGCCTTTCCCATCCCAGATGACAAACGAATGTGAGTCAGCTGCACGGTTGGCCCCACCCCCCAAGAGCCTCTGACTTGATGGGGCCCAAATCCAGTGGAGTCAATGACGCCAAAGTCAAGCTGGAGGGCACTACATGGCCGCAGGGAACAGACCCCACATGTCATTTTCTACTTGTGTCAATCACCACTAGATTTGACTTTGGAGACAAAAAGTCCTTGCTCTTGGGTGAAGATGTCAATGGCCCAAATCCCCCAAACCAACTGACCACCAATCTTTGGTCCTTTCAACTAATCCCCTGACTGCTTTCCTGGATGCAACTGTCAAATACTAAGCAGTGGCGATCACACCATCCCCTCCATTCCACTGGACTCCTCACATTCCCTAGTTCATCGTTCCTGGAGCGTTTGGAACAGGAGCTCAAAAGCACCTTCTCTTTTCTATGACCAACCCCCAGCCCGTGTGTCCTTTCTATTTACACATTAATCTTCCCTTTTCAATCACTGTGCTATAAATACCCTCACCACCCCCACTAGCCCAGTCCCCAGCCCTCTTCAGGATGCAGAGAAGTATCGTGACCTTCCTGTGACCTGCCCATTTGGAATCCAGACCTCTCCACCACAAGCCTTCCTCCTGAGATTGGGAATGATGTCCAAGGGCGGCTTGTGGGGTTGCTGCCCATTTCCCAGGCCCATACCAGGTGGAAGGGAGGAGGGTTTCTGTTTTTTTGCATTTTTATTCAGTGTTTATAATTCTTGTTGCTTTAATTTTTTAAAGGGATTTTTAGAGCCAAGTCCTTCCCTCCGACTTCTCCATGGCAGCCATGTGGGCAGAGCGGAGCATCTATGGGGATTTGACACCTAGGCATCCATCACAATGGTTTCCTGACAAACTGGAGTGGGGAGGTGTGTGGCCCACAGAAATGCTGCCTGAACAGGGACCTCTGAATGAAGTTATGGAACTCTCCAAGATCTGCATGCCCTGAGGGGCAGACCAGTGTGAGGGTTTGGAAGCAATCTGCCCAAACCCAGCTTCACTCAACAGCCCGGGATGGCATGGCCTCCCTGATTCAGACCTACAGAGCCAAAGGCCCCTCTGCAGGTGAGTCAAGAGGGTCCAATATGGCCAGGCCAGCCCACTCCTTTAGGGCCTGATACTGAATGAACTGCTTACTACCAAAGAGAGCAAAGCCTCCAGCAAAAAGTGCAATTTCCATTTGGGAAGTAAGGTTCTCCCAAAATATGACACCACCACCACCACCTTTCCTTTTAATCCTTTAAGTACCTCAAAGGGAAAGGGAGATAAGACGTACAGCATGAAACCTCGGAACCAAATCAAGGGCTTTCAGTACATGTGGTTCACCCTTCATAACCCTAAAACTCCCACTAACACGTCCAGTCGGTTAGCAAAGTGCCGGCGAGCTGAGGAGCATGGCAGGGTGAGGAGACGGGCTCCCACAGGTCAACAGTGACCAGGGCCTCAGAGAAGTCCCCGCTCCCATTTTCAACAGGACACATTTGTCCTAAGTTTACAGCAGGATTCATTACTGTGGAAAACGGCCACAGGACTCCAGAGATTGTAATTCCTTCATAAGACCTTGTACACTTCATTGCCTATTGGAGGATAAACTCAAAACTTCTTCAAAATATAACCTGAGCCACAATATAAAATAAAAAGAAACAAATCCTTTCATGTTAATGCCTTGAGAAGTTGACAGATTATGTACCAATAAAATAAATCCACATAAATTCTGAAATTCTTGGTGAATACACACCTGAAGCAAAAAAAAAATTAATCTACATTAAAAAAAAAATCAAAGTAATTACAGCAGCAGTATAGTGAAAAGAGGTTTTAAAAATAATAATTACATCTTTGATACAAATTCAAACTTTGTACACCTCAATTCAAAGGAATGACTGTTTTAAGAGTTTAGTATATATTTATACAGTAGATACCAATATGTGTCACTGCAGATACAGACTAAAGCCAGTGGACTTTGAGGAAGGAGCGATTAATTTGACACTGTTTTCACACTGAAGTGTTCACAGATTGCCACGCTTTTAAAAACACACACACATATACACGGACACACAGACACATAAAATGCCAACCTGAGTAAAACGTCACTAAAAACCTAGAGCCTCATGAATCACTAAGTCACATATTGCACCTTTAAATAATCCTTCTTAACAAATAGAGAATTGAGAAAAAAAATAAAACAGGGATGAGAAATGGAGATTACATCACTGTAGGGTTTCCCCCAGAAATTCTCAGGGTGATATATAGTTTCTACTGTCACTCAACCAATGGGCTGAAAATGTGGCCAACAGAGGTGTCTTTGGGGCAAATTGGGAGGGAAAGGGGCAGAAAGAATAAAGCACAAAATGGGGGAAGGGGGAAGTGGGGGAGGGGCCTCCTCTAATCAACTGAGAACAGGAATGTTACTGAGAAGGCTGAACCTCTGATACTAAACTACTGTTTAAATATTTCATATATTCCAATTATGAGATTCAATACAAAAATATAGATATCTACTGAGTTTTGCCTGTGGAAGCATAATTCAGAAAAGGCACATGTTTAAATAGAAAACTCAGGCGGAAGAGGCACCACATACCCCTCCCTACATGATCATCATCCACAACTATGTATTTTCCATCAGCTAGATCCCAAGATACAGTAGGTAAAAATAGACCTCTGATACTTAAAATATATTCAACCCAACACAATCCTGGCTTTAGCATGTGAATCATATAAAATAGTCTTTTTTAAAAAGAATCTGTTTTGAAAAAGAAAAAGGAAATCATAGCTCACTTCTCCTGGTGTTCCGGAATTCTCAAGAAAAAACAAAAAAAGTGAACTGATCCCAGTGGTAATCAGGAATAGAACTGATTTGCTCACCACCCATCCACAGCCCCCGACAGCCCCAACTTCTCATTTGTCATGTTTTACGTGTGCAGCTTCACACCCTCAAGTTAGTTCTAACAAAACAGAACAAAGAATTAAGATATTAGACATATAAAAACATGTCAACATCGGGGCATGTTCCTTTGCTGTGGATGTGACGGTCTGGTTAACTCCAGAAAGGTTTCCTTTGGAATTAGGCGATGTAACCATTTGTCTTTCCAAACGCGGTCACCGGTGCAAGGTTTTCATAGATTGTCATTGCATTTGTGTTCTGGTAGATGAGATCTACTTTTGAGTCCCTCTGGGATCTGATAATATCCAAAACACACTGATTGAGGAAAACATACTGGTCCTGTTAGAAAAGGAAAGAGAGAGAGCAAATGAGCACAGGCGCCAGAGATCAGCACCCAAGGTTATTTTCAAACAGATAACCAACCCCCCAATCCCACCCACCAGCGAACACTTCAAGTTAACATGTGTCAAAAGGTAACAACATCCTGGTGAAATCTGACAGCACAGAGAACAAGATTCTCATCATCAGTGATGCTCAACCAAAGGGGCAGACTCCCCACACCTTCGCTCTCCAAGGAGAAATACCAGAATCTTGGGGAAGAGCAAAGAAAGGAGTAGAAGAAATAATGCACAGATACATTCAAACGACAGAAAATCCAATAAGATTTTCTTGGCTAGTGCGGATGTGCAGAATAAGGAGTAAATTGTGACTCTCAACAGAGAGGGTGGGTTAAGCAGGTGATGGGGGTAGAGTTGGGTGAGGACCACCCTTCAGGCAACCATATCAGAATCTGCAGGTAGCCATCAAAAAGAGGAAGAAGAGGTACATGCTGTCACAGAAAGATGTGCATGATGCAATGAGAGGGAAAAAAAACCACAGGGCAGCATTATATATAAAATAGGACGCGATTTTTAAAACATACTCTGTATATGTACATGTGTTTTTCTACCAATGTACATAAAGAAGCCTGTAAAGATATATACAAACCGTAAACATTGGCTACCTCTAGAGAGTGGGATTGGGGAAGAAAAAGCAAAAGAGAAAAATATACTCCATATAATCCTGTATTGCTAAGTTTTTTAATATGAACAGGTTTGTACTCTTTTCAAAATTAAAAAGAGACAAGAAAAGAATTTGTAGCAGGTATGAGATTTCTGTGTTTCTCAAAAGAAGATAAAAGATTGAGAACTACTACACTATACAATCATAGCAGAAAAAAGAAAATCTCTCTTCTGACCATCACAGGAGGTGAATTCCACTCTTTCCAAACAACCATGCTACTCACCCCAAAGCACACAATGTACCCAGGCCTCTAAAACATTCCCTGCTAGACTCAAAAACACAGCACATATTCATAGAGTTCTAAATTGGTACAGGGTGACAGCCTGATACAAAATTAATATTCTGCTCTCATCCCAGTCACGGCACAGTCACCCCTACAGCACTGAGGAAGGCTGTTTCCCAATATATTTGTTGAGAACATGCCTCGAAAACAATGTTTATCAGGAACATTTCAGGGAAAGCCAAATCCAACAGTCTTACACAAATGACACTGTAGATATTAAGCATTCATTTTCTGAATTGGCCAGCCATCCTTTTTTAGCTATGCTAATTGACGTTTTTAACATTTACAAGGCTGGGTGAGGACACATTGCCGCATTAATGCTTAAAGCAGCATTATGCTATTTCATATCATTAATATTTGATAAGTCCATTTCATTAGCTTATTTTAAAGATGATCAGACTTTCTTAGAAACAAAGAGTGAAAATGCCAGTTTTATGAGTTTAAAACCCAGAAGCCAAAGTTCAGAGACTTGCTAAGATTATTTGATTAGGATCCTGATACTATCTCGGTTCGTAGCTCCATTGCTGACATCAGCACCACTCTGTCACTGTATCAGACAATTCAACTTCAGTTTAGGATCTTAAAGAAATCTAGTGTTACCTCACAGCCAAAAGCCAGAAAGATCTGGAAGGGTGAAATATTTTAACACAAATGTGCGACATGATGCAACCTTTTAAAAATGGATGGGGAGGGTGGATATCAAACACAGATCTTGGCCTCACCTCTGTTTGCACCATTAAAGGCCTGTGCATTCGAAGGTCATACACAATTCCGTACACATCCACAGTGTTCTCATTCTCGATCTGATAGATAAGACGATCAATGGCAATGAAAGTGCCTGTCCTTCCAACCCCAGCGCTGGAAGACAGGAGAAACAAGCACATCATCATGGGTTACCTCTACTGTAAACTCTCAGATTTCCCCATTTGTACATATATCTTGCTCTCCTCCACTACCAGACTTTGAGGGCAATGCCCAGGATCCTTAAACATTTGCACAGTTGAACCCTCAGCAAGTCAGACTACACTCGCTTGGGACTGGGACCCAAGTCCTAAAATTCTTTTGAGTCAAACACCACAAATAAAACATCTTGCTAGAGCTTCCTGAATCTCAGTCCAATCCAAGTTGCCACCATAACCTAGGATGGCAAATTTCATCAATTTATTCCCCATAGGGCCACAAAGCCCCTCCTTTCTTCTGTCCTAAATTAATTCCTTTAGCTTCAAAGCTAATTTCTTTCTGTTCTAGGGGAGGGGGTGGCAAACTTTTTCTGTAAGGGGCCAGATAGTAAATATCTACGACTCTGCAGACCAAATGCTCATTTTCTGCCATTGTAGCACGAAAGCAACTACAGACATTATGTAAACAAATGGGCATGGCTGTGTTCCAATAAAACTTTATTTACAAAAATAGGCAGCCAAAGAGATCATGGTGATGGTTTCATGGGTGGATACCTATCTCCAAACTCATCAAGTTGTGTACATTAATTATGTATAGCTTTTTGTATGTCAAAAAAAAATACTTTTAAATACATAAATAAAATCAAGTAGGGCTATGTGTTTCAACATTGTTAAATACCAAACCAAATGCTGAATGAAGAAAGCAGGTTGCAGAATGACGTATACATCATAAAAATCAGGTAAAAGTTTAAAGCTACATAAAACCATAGAGATACATACGTATATAATAAACTATAAAAGCATATAAGAGAGTGATATAGATCAACTTCAGGACCACGTTTACCTATATGAGAAGGAGAATGGGATGGGAAACTAGTAAGCAGAGACTTTAATTACATCCGTAATGTAATATGAACAAAAAGAAACATATACGGCTTCATGTTATGCTTTATTAAATTGTTATTAATCTCTATATTTTTGTAAGGTTGAAATATTTTACAAGAAAATATTATAAATAAGAAATAAATTAAAATACATTATGGTTTAAAAAAAAAATACAAGCAGCCGACCAGGTCTGGCCCATGGCCTATAGTTTGCCAACGCACTGTTCTAAAGTCTCAGGACTTAGGGAACAAGTCTATGGTCCCTTATCCAAACCTTTCCTGAATTTATAAATGCCTGTTGCATTCCCTCCTATGCTTTGCTTTTCACAAGTGTCCATATCTATAATTACGTTTGAAATCTGTCACATGTGGGGCGTCATCTGCATACCTGCAATGCACCAGAATCGGCGATTCGTGAGGAATCTGCTTCATGTAGTCACGAACAAGGTACCGGAAGTTGATGAGCAGGTCGGTGGTGTCAGGAACACCGTGGTCCGGCCAGGAGGTGAAATGGAACTGTCGCAGAGGGTGACTCTCACTTGTCTGGATCTAAAAGCCAAGAAAAGAGGTTAGATGCAGAGAGAAAGGCTCCCTAAGAACATCAGAAAGGCAAGCGAAATCAGGCAGTCCCTGAGTGCTGAACTGCACGGGGCAGCTGCAAGGCAGCTACATGGGAGGGGTGACGACGAAACATGGGACTTTTACATTGGTACAACAGCTGAGAAAGTGTTTGCACAGACTTGGATGTGCTCATCAAATCCTCATAATATGCCCAAGAAGGAGGGTTTATTAGCCCCCTTTAAAGACAAGGCAGCCAAGTTTCTGAGAAGTGAAGTGACTTCGCCAACACTCCGTTCAGACGCAGCAGAAGTCCCTCGTCCTCTGATTCTGAGTTTAGATCTCTTCCTTTTCCACCACAACTGCCTGCCGATACTGTACTCACATTCTTACACCTGCACCTCTTTAGAGCTTCAGAAACCCCATCCCCGAGCCCACCTGGGAATGTCACCAACCAAAAAACCAAACGTGAATTACACAACTACAACTATGATAATCAGTCTTCATAATTCACACCTTCCAGAGAAGCTAATAAAGTGACAGGCAACTAGCAAGCACCAAATAAATATTTAGAATTGTATGGCTTTGAGAAAGGAGCCCCCAAAGAAACCATCCATTTCGACATCAGCCGGATAATAGAAAGTGGCCCTTGTTACAACAGAGTTAGTTATTACACAGACTGGTTTCCTACCACAGACCGAAGCATGTACCTCTAATTACCAGAACTCCGCCCAGGCTGGGCCACTCCTGTCCCAGATTCAAGCGTACTCATTAAGCCCACATTAGGCTGACCTCCCCATGTCTCCCTACATCTGGGCAGCAGGCATTTCCATCTCCTTTATGACAGCTACCTTTCGATGCTTATTTATTTTTTAAAAATGTATCTACATTATAAAAGCAATGCATCCACATTATTCAAAATGTGGAAAACAGTAGGGAAAAAAAGGAAGAGTGAGGGAAGAGGGTATTACGAAGCCTCATCATACACAAACGTTAACATTCACAAATGTAACCAAAAGCAGTCGTCCAAAGAAAGAAACCAGCCATGAAAGATAAGAGAGAAAGAGAGAGGGGAGAAGTCAGCCTTTTCAGTACTATCTCTGCAAAAGGGCCAAGGGGCCCAGATTAGGGGCAACAGTCAAAGGAAATCTTTAGCTTTATCTGTTATGTTCCCACTTGTAAAAAGGAAAATATATTCCTGCATTTTGTGTAACTAAAAAGTAAAATTTTACTAACTGCCATGTGGCATCCTGGATTGGATCCTGGAACAGGAAAGGGCTTTCGTGGAAAAACATGAAATCTGAATCAAGTCCAGAGTCTAGTTAATAAAAAATAATAATAATAGTAATAGTAATTTTTTTTAAATGACGTGGACAATTCCACCCTCAATTCCCCTCCACAAGGGCAAATGCCAAGCAGTGAAAGCAACCCGTCCATTTAAAATGGGTGAAATCTATAGAAATAAGTATGACGTTTTAAGGGATTCTCAACTATTGTGAATCACATTGTTTATGCGGCCAATTCGGTGCATGATAACAGCTTTGACAGCATCTGCAGGAGAGGAATTGAAATATTAATTGAGGCCAGAGCCTTTGAGACTCAGCAATTAGTAAAGAGTTAATACTTAATACACTACACTCTATCCATGATTTATGAAATCAAGGCTAATTCTCAAAAACTAGAACCTAACCCACCAATCCCCCATAAGATTCAACTCCACTGAATCTGCTTCCAGGTTTTTCTTTGATGCATTATTCATAATATGCATAAAATTTTTTCCCCTAGTATGTTTCACTTAATTACATCCTAACTTCCACTCACAGTAATTACACAGTCTACATAGTCATTATTTCTAATAGCTGAATAATGATACAGTGACTAGATAACCTATAGTTTAGTTATCCAATCTGCAAAAACTAGATATTTGCATGGTTGCCAAATTCTCCCTCCATTATAAATAAGGCTGAGATTCATCATTACGAATGATAAGCCTTCTCCTGTATTTCAGATTGTTTCTTTAGGACAGATTCTCAAACTTGGAACCACCAGATCAAAGGGGAATGGACATTTTTAAGCCCTCGATATAAACTGCAAAAGGTGACACCAACACACATGCCCATCAAAAGATATCAATGTAGCTTCAGGACACTGCTTCTGTTTTTAAACAGCTGCAAAAAAAAAGAAAACAGACACATAAACTGACTTCCTAGACAGTCAGTTTAGACAGACAGTTAAATTGCCTACACAATTTAATTGGATTTGTTTTCATAACTTTTGTGGGGAAGGGAGGCCATGTGTATGTGCCCTGGAATCCTATTGATGTAACGGTTACCATAAACTGCTCCCAACAGCAATTTTCCACTCTTAACGCCATATTTCCAACCAAATAATCCAAAAGGCCTTTGTTTCTAACAAAAACCCCACAAGCAAGTCACCTAGAGTGGAAGGAAAGGAGTTACTGATGTTGAGCCATGCTCTTTTTTTTTTTTTTT